TTTGCCATCTTCTTCTATTAGGTATGAAATGATGGCTGGTCGTTCTCCCTTTGACATCGTTGGCGCTGCTGGCGATCCTGATCAAAATACCGAGGATTATCTTTTCCAGGTTATGGTTTCCGCTACAATTCATTTATTTGCTTCAGTGGGAATTTGGTCAGTTCATTTCTAATCACTTATTGTTTACAGATAATTCTCGAGAAACAAATCAGGATACCTCGAAGTTTATCAGTCAAAGCTGCTTCCGTTCTGAAGCAATTCTTGAATAAGGTACGTTTTTGAAACGTGAATTATCTAGACTGGTGAAGAAGAATCCTGTTCTTAAATTCACAAACCTAGTCGAGGTTTTGCAACTATAAAAAGCATACCGAAGAAGAGTAACAAAAAGCTCTGGGAAGGGCACAACATCATTATATGTAATATCAACCCGTTCACTTAACACCTAGGCATCTACCACACATCAGCTTTGCGCTGAGTTATAAGAAATGGTATGTTTCCTTCTCGGCCAAGAAATCTGTGGAAAGCAAATCTCCGAAGCGCTGTTTAGGAAACCTTTCGCCATCTCAGAAACCATTTTCGAGATTGAATTTGGACCAGTTTTCAGAAACACTTGGAATAATTTGTGTCTTTTCGCCAAAGATCATTTTAATGTAGGATACTTTCTTGATCAGCTCAACAGGCGCAGCCTTTTCGTATTAATAGTTTCTCTATCCACCGAAACAAGTTTATACACTAATGTAAAATTATAAGAGCTATACCAACATTGCAATTCGAAACAGTGCATTTTTTCAATTTCAATGGACTGTTTAGGATCCATCAGAACGACTCGGATGTAAAACGGACATTGAGGAGTCGTTAACGGAGATGAAAGAGCATCCCTTCTTCAAAAACACTGTTGATTGGGAAGCGGTACGTTTTTTATGGATCTATTTTCTATGAAACTTAGTTACTTGTACTCCTTCATTTCCGTTGTCACATATTTATTGATCCCTTTACTTCTTTCGTGTTTCGCTCTCACTGGTGGCTCTCGTAGGACAGACGGGTTGTTATAATGGGTTGTTTGGATCGAGGTGATAGAGAGTCCGCTCGATTTTCTTCAAACTATGTTATGATATACAATTCATTACTCTTTGAGTATTGAGCTCTTCCATTAGTATGCTCCGGCTTCATTTATATCATGGCGCATTTGACGTAATATTCTAAGATATGATTGCAGCTGGAGCAGAGACAAGTTGCACCTCCCTACAATCCATCTGTGGAGAATGATCGCGATCTGCAACATTTTGACACCCAGTTCACAGATGAAGCTCCAAACTTGACTCCTGATGATCCGAACGTTATTGCAAAAATAGATCAGAGCGAATTTGATGGTTTTGAGTACGTAAATCCGTTGCAAATGAGCAAAGAGGACGCGGTCTAGACATTATTTATCTTTCATGTAATTATGTTATTCTAATTCCTTGTTGCCTTACTGATTTGTACGCCTTCCTGGATATTTGTCAGATTTTCAGTTAGTTGGCATGACACTTCCTATTTAATAATTTTCCATTGCTTCAATTTTCTCACTTCTCATTATTATTGAATTCAGATTGGAAATTTGTTACAAACACTGGGCGCGACCTTACTCGACGCGCGGGCTTGTGATTTGCTCGTTTATCTCTTGCTTGAGTTTCTAACTTTCATAGGGAATAAGCTTCGCATAAGCTCACCAAAACCATGAGCGTGGCTAGATGTAGGCACTACTAAACCCATTATTGAAGGAATGAGATGAGGGGGGAGTAGTGACATGGTAAATGTGTTTCTTTTCGCATCTCTGAGCAACAACTGGAGGAACTCTAAAGAACCACAAGTAGTTTTGAAGAAAGGCGGAAAGATCGTTTTTTTTTTCGAATTGGAGGAACACAGGCTGATGTATTGGGGTGAAAGAAAGGTGGTTGATGTTTTAATGGAGTATGGAAATAAAGGAAAGGCGGAGATCTCGAGAGAGCTCCCTAATCGGGGCTGATTGTTTAATCTGTCTTACTTGAATTTTAGGTAAGAATTGACCATATGTAACCCCACAAGCAGTGATATACTTGTCACCTATACATAATCTGCTACTTATTTTTTTTCTCTGTGATCATGCTTGTGATGTTCGCTTTCTATTTGACAGTTAAATATATAGCGAGGATTCCAGTTTGAACCAAAATGCGCAGCGTGTCTTCAATGACTCCAAATTGGTTAAGGTTGTTTTTCATTTGCTGACTACCAAGCTGACGTAAGCAAACCAGCCCTTTTGGCACATCGGCTGGGACCGTATGCTGAATGTTGGGGAGGGGATGGTGTCCCCGACGGTGGACGGACAACTTCAACGCGGTCCTTAGAACCGCCACAATTTGGCGCTTACCTTAGAACTAAGCCTTAAAGAGAGGACGGGTCCGTCCCCTCTCCTAGGCTTAGTCCATAGGGTGAGCACGTGGAGGGGAGTAGGACCTGGTCTTCTTGGCTGAAGCTACTGGCCAGGCTGCCACACTTTGGTTCATGTACTTCCTATCGTACACCGAAGTGAGTAAACGTCGACCGTTGGGACCATCGCCCTCCTACCTTCGAGCTCGGGTCCCAGCCGATGTGCTTAAGGGCGTGAGTTTGCTTACGTTCTCTATTAGAGTAACAGACATTGGGAATTGGCGCAACAAATATGGTTTATTGCGGCTGAATAGTTGAGTATTTGTATTTCAATTTTTCGATACTTGTTTTCTTCATCTCTCATCTCAATACGAAGTTGTTCGACCAGCGATAAATGCATCCCTTGTGAGCAGCGAAAGTGCTATTCCAAAGCGATGCACCGCTGATCGTTAGCAAGTTCATATGGCGTTCATATGTTCATGTTGTCCTATTGTCACCATTTCGTACTGGATAGATGGCGGTGGTTACAGTAGTTGTCGGAAGTCCAAGGTCTGGTGAAGGTGGTGTTTACATCTAGTTAGAGTGATCGGAAAGCACTTCGCAGTATTAATCGGGCTCCTGTGATATTTGTGATCATTCGCGCGAAGGATCGTGGACTCTGACACCAGCCTTTACCGCGTTGGATAAATCGTAACTGCCAGGAAGCACTTTCTTGCCTTAGTACAGCACAAAGAGCCTTCGACGTAGTGGGAACTCATGCAGCAATCCAAGAATAGCACGCTGATCATTCGTAGATAACGCAGCCGTTGTTGAAGTAAAGGGCAGTTGAATAAAGTAAAAGTTTTGGAAGAAGAAGTTTCAAGGCGTACTCCGTAAACCTGAGCCGAGTTTCATCTCGTCACTGCACAATAATCGCTCTTTTCTTCAGAAGAGAACATCAAGGGACCCTACGTCAGATGCATTATTGAAAGCATTCGCTCAGCCTGATGGCCTTCCAAAGTAGGTGGGGTGGGTTGTATAGTTGTTGAAATTGGGCAAATCGGAAAAGTGGAATAGGGGCGGGAACCCGGGTAGTAGAGTCATTCATGCACCTTCAGGCTTTAAGACATCTGCCTTGCAGTTCGACACGAATTCTGTATCCAGTGTGCTTGCGGGCTGTACTACCTCCCTCAAGGTGGGACTCCACTCCAGTGACCTGATCGAGAAGCGTATCTCGCGGAAACCTCTACTACCAATAGGCTATGGTCATGAGCGGATCTAATTCCAGAGCAATCCCTTAGCACATTCACGACGGTATTTATTTTTGTCGTGCGCGACAGGTGCGTTTATACTCGCGTCATTGCCTCCAGGACATCGGTAGAAATTAGGATGATGAAAAAAACATGAATATGATGGAATAATTTGAGCAACGCCCAATGTCTAGAGGTTATCTTGAGACATAATGCTGAAGTTCGGCCAAAACGATGTGAAATCAAAATGAAACCGCAATATTCATTACTTGCCATTTCAGAGTTTTGTATTTTCTTTTCATTTACATGTTATGGCAAAAGAAGCAAAGGATGAAGCAAACCTTAATTCCGTAGCGTCCAGAAAACCTTCTTCCAAATTCCAGCATTTTTACGCTTCAGTGGACCATGCAGTAGCCACCGATTAACTCGTTAATCTCAAGAATACGGAAATTAGTTTTGGGTGGAGGGCGCTTCAGCTTTTCACGCATGCCAAGTGACTCGCCTCACGCCCACCCCCCTAGACTGCTACACTCCCCCTGGCTTGGAGTCACCGTATCTTTCTGGAAAAGCTGCATCCAGAGGTCCCCTTCCCCCTCTTTCAATTGGAACAGACCCATCAAAACAGCAACATATGGTTTTATTGACTAACATGCTATTTTTGAACTCGTGGGTTGTTGAATCCTTTTTTTCTGAAATACTTCACGATTGTCTAATTATGGACAAATTTACTCAATTCGATTGGTCGAACGTCAGATGTTCTGATGAGACTTAAGGGAGATAGTGTTCCTCGTGAAATTTAAGGCGAATATCGATTCACCCTTTGAATCCTCAGTGGGATGAAGTGCCTCGCGAATTTCAACGATGTTAAATCGCATCAATAAAAAACCTTATTGTTCCTTACTTGCCATCGTAGTAAACTCAAATACTGACTTGCACCTTATTCAGCATTGAAACGTCTGCTGCAGTGTAGATGGTAATTGTTTAGGAATAAGATCTGCAGTGAAAGAGCGTCGTTGCCATGTTCGCGACAAGACGTAAGCACGACTTGGCTGGTAGTCGAGCGCACGGCGCGCCCTTGACTTGGCCGATAGTCCAAGCGCATGGCAGTCCTCCGTCCCGTCCCGCTGTACCATGCGCTTCAGTTGCTGCTCTGCTCGCTTCACTGCGAAGGAAATGCGATAAGGAGAGACGTCAAGTGGTTTCCGGAAGCTGTTGCACAATTGCATTAAGGGATTCCCTGACGGAATAGAACATTCCACGTTGACTTCAGGAGGAGACATTCTTCTTACAATTTGAATAAATGTTCACAGCCTTCAAAAAGAAGCGTATAGAGATTTCAAACCTGTTTTAGTTTTGCGCAAAATCACATCTGAGAAAGAAGTTAGTTATGGACGTTGAAGTGCGACAACGAGTCAAAACTACCTCTCCGCGGTCCCTTCCCCTCTCTCGCTAGTCATAGTTTTCAAAATATTATAATTGAGAAGAGTACATGGTGTTCCCGTTGGATGCTTTCGAGGTATGTTATAGCTCTCAAATATGTGAGACTTGCAGATCTGAATTTTCCACCTTTAAATCTACCTAAAAATTTCCTCTTGTGCCTGTATTAATTACAACAATTCCTAGGAAAGACTAATCAAAAAATTTTCAAGTCTTTTCATGTGATTTGTGCGAAAGGGAGGGAGTAAGTGAGGGGGGGTGGAACAGCCCATAACTTTGCGTCAAATTCACGGAAGCGCTCATTTTTACATCTAATCGAAGCTCCTAGAAGAGAAGAGTGAAAAGAGGCGCAAGCAATCCTCATTCACTTCGGAATTCGTCCTTCTCCTCCCTTAGACTTGGTCCTAGTGGCCTTACCAAAGACTGCCGCCTCTCCACGGAGGTACTTGCGCCCAGATTTGAAATCCGTTTTCTTTGTAAGAAGTGATACCCGTTCGAAAATGGCCACGCTTTTCAATGTTCGCCACGGCGTATAGTGCGCCCCACGGCCAACGTCCGCGTTGCAACTGCAGTCACATTTGCGTCGTGCGCAGAGGGCCGATGGTCTACGTGTACTCGGTCGTTTGAGATCAAACACCCTTAATTCGGGGCTACATGTGCTATCTCGCCTTATGACTACTGTGGTCTAACACATTGGAACTAATTGGCTTACCCGTCCTCTAGTTCCACCTCGGTGCTATACAAGTAGGGTGGGCACGCCGCATTTTTTGAACAGAAATGTATGTAAGTGGGACTGCTGCCCGCTACTATACTGTCACGAGAATCGGGGAATTCGTGAGCCAGGGGGAGTGTAGCCAATCTAGGAGGGCAGTCACTTGACATGCGTGAAAAGCTGGGCGTGCCCACCCCACTTGTATAGGACCTTCACCTCCCCCTCCATGGTCTTAAGATGCTCACATTCCTTGAGTTTGGAGCCGATCCAGGTGCCGTTCTCCTCCAGCCACTATTGCCAGGGCCATTGAAAATAGTTCAAGTAGTTCGACCGAACCGAGCAGAGGAGAGGTTCATAACGACTCTCGTCTTTTGGGGAAGAGGGGGTTGTATTTGAAAATTTTCCTCAGCATTTCGCTTGACCCTGATTAGGCCTATTTCACAGTCTACGAAGAAATGGGACGATCCGAAAGAATCAAATAGGTATCGACTACGGGAATTGGTTCACAGGGAATGGCGTAGGTGAAACGTCGGGAGATGTGCGGAAAGGGTTGGACAGGAATTGATCGTTTGATTCCGTCCCGTCGGAGTCTTTGAACCGCGAAAACGATTCGTCATTCCCCTGTTCTCTCGATCAATTCGCATAATTCTTTTTCGGGAATCCTCCTATTTGGTTCTATGAGAACAGAGACGCGAATGATGCAATTCGCACAAACTGTTGCACCGCAACTTCCCCCCCCCCCTACCTCGCCATGTGATAGCGCCCGTAGTCCATCGCAGGCAGTTGAAATGGATGAGCAGATTGCGGCCCCTCGCTGGGCAACCGGGTGTGATGGAATGAGTGATCGTTGAGCGAGCCGGCCCCGCCGCTTCATGGGCGGAGTCGCTGGGACGTCACGCGCGTGGTCGTCCACGTCGGCTGCGGCAGGTGCGACAGGGGGAACTGGCTGATGGTGAACGTGGCGACGGTAGGGGCGGCAGGCGGGGGCAGACGACGAGACGGGTTCGACGTCGACCAACAGTATCGACTGCTGTGACGAGACACCCGCACGCTCTCTGACGGCCGCACCCGTTTTTTCCCACCAGCCGCCGTCGACGCTGCGACTCTGCACGTAACTTGCGTTCTCGCGGTCCGTCTAGACGCAGCAGCCAGAGTCAGTCGCCGCCATCCTCCTGTGTTCTCACACCACCCAGACGATGGCCGCTGCCACACAAGATGCCGCTTTTACAGCCGATCCATTACTCTATCGAATACCGGAGTTTCCTTCAGGTACATGCCTAGTACAAAGATCAGTTGAAAAGTCGAAATTCATAATTCCTAATACTAATTACTTTTTTAGTGATTCCTATCACACCCGGACCAACAATGAGTCCTTGTGAATCCGACGGTATCGCTGCTTGGATCACCATCAGTGGGTATGTGGTTTCTAGAATATTTCCGCGTTGTTCGGGACTAATCCCGTGCCGATTGTTGTTTGCGTTTTGTGAATTGAACACATTTGCATTGCTGTTAGTAGTTCGAAGAGTTCAATGACCAAACCGCTTATATCCGATTCTCTTGAGAAATTGCACACGGCTGATTTACTTATTCTTTGACATCGACACACAGCATCCTCACATTGATCTTTGTCCTTGGCTTCTAAGTTCGCCAGTGTCGATCGACGAACCTCGCGTGCGTTGCGAAGAACTGAACATTAACATCCCGTCGTTGTTTCAGCCATTGATTCTCCACTTTTTCAGAGATTTAAACAACATTTTGAAGGCGAGAAGTTGTGAGTTCAGCATGGGGGTTTCGTTTTCACAAATCTCTAGACAGAATCTCGCAACAAATTCTGAAATTTTACACTGGGTACTGCAGTTGTAAAGTATTCTCTGAATTGCCACGAACCAGTTGTAAACACAGCTCGGAGTTTCTATGCGTTTTTTATGCATTGAACGATAACTAATTATTACCGGCATTTTGACTCTAGTATTGCAGCAGCCAGTTGTAGGGATCTTTTTAGGAACAGAGCATTGTCATGTAACTTCTTTGAGGCTCACTGGTGTTAAAAGTTTCGGCATCAGAGATTTTTCAAAGCTTCATTCTGACTCAACATAATGCGCAATCACAAGGAATAGAGTTAAGGTGACCACCTTTTAGGCCTAGCTTTATGCTTTCCTATTCATTTATTCACTGCAACTGCATTTACCTGAGATTTTGCTTGATCCGAGCTTCGGAGCTTCGAAGCCTTATAAGGCGTCTTAATAACTCTACCAGAAGTGCTTATGTCCATATGTTGTTGATACTCGAGGTCGAGCCATTAACCATCATCTAACATTAACCTCAGGTTTCGATCATGCATTGCTCAAGTAGTCGATTTTTAAAAATCATCAGAAAATCATATTATTATTAAATCATTATTCACAACGGCCTCAACTATAACTGCTGAAAACCAACTGCTGTTTAAATCTTATAGAATCACCGGAACAATTTGCTTCGTCAACGCTTTTTTTTGGCTTGGCTCTCTGAATAGCTTTACAGATTCATATCTAAGGAATCGAAGAACGTTGTGATCGATCATCCATCATGTCCAATACTTAGAGCTCCAACTTCCTTCTTATTTTTGTTGCAAAAAGGAGCGCGCTCATTTTCTCAAATTCTTGACGGAAACTAGCTATGCTTTCTACGTTATTCTCAAAAAGTGGTGTCTAGCACTCTATCCATCAGAAACGATCTTACTTCCTTGTTTAAGCAGAACTTCGGCCTTTTGGTTTTTTTTGAACAACAAAAACTGCAATGATCCCGCTGTGTGTTATTGTTCTTTTTTTCGTGTGGATCCTGCTGGAACTTCTTTCGAGCACGACTACTCTGAAATATTACATGCCGCTCACGTGTATATGGGAATGTTGACGCTTCACCGTTTACGCCAATTCATTTGAAATTCACGAGTTAATGATTTTTGGTCAAGACTGCTCGGTAACATTATCATGACAACCACACAATAACAGCTTACCTACTTGTCTTGTTGTCCACCTGTTCGTACCTATAAATGGCAATGTTGACCGGCAAGGGCTACCATTGAAGGAAGGGCATTTATTAGCTTGCTTAGCTGCTCTATCCTAATTTTTTCCTGAAATTTCCCATCAATTCTGTGTGGTGACTCGCCACCACTTCGTTTTTCTGATTGAAAATTGGTACTATATCTCTCCTATTCAAATTGACGTCGCACAAAACCTGGTGATGTCATAGGTTGTCTGTATTTTGAAAGTTCTTCTAAAGCTCCCATTCATCTAATTCAAATTCATTTTTCTATTTCCTCTTCCCATTCTATGCGATAAATAAGCGAAAAATTTTGATTGTTGTAAGGTCTCGAGGTACTTTTTGGTTCACTTAGTTTGCTTACACATTTCTGCGGAGTGTCCATTGATTGTTTTGGGATGCGCCACGCGTTGGACAGAAATGGTTTTGATGGCTTTTCATATGGCTGTTTCCTACACTGCATTTACATATGGAGTATGCGAGTTTGACTCATGGAAGTGACTGAAGCAAATGCTATGCTCGCGATGCCTTGCGCTCGCCGCGCGCAGGGCCTCCTCACCTACCGCCCCTTCCCCAGAGGAGGTGCTGTGCTTTGAGGGTATGAAGCTATAGGAATGACCAGGAGCATCACGATATGTGTTCTAGGCTATGAATTTTTTGATAGGAGGCCGCCAGATGTGAGTATTGCTCAGCAAAAGTGTCAGGACTGCATAGCCTTTTCATGCTGTCCTTCCCATGTATTAATTTCTTACTTCTCTTTCTGTTCGAGAGATCACTACTTCGAGAGTTTTCAGTGCTCCGTTTCCTGCTATGGTTCTGGGAGGTGAACCGCGTGTGCCTATTCATCTTTTACTAAGTCGAGTGCTATTTACACAAGGTGTTAGCGAGATTCAAGCTATGATGGGTAAGTGCTCAGTATATTTTCCTTTCTAATCTTTGCAGTATTCTATACACAGATTATTTGTGTCAGTACATAGATGGGATCTTCGAAATTTCCTCTTTAGATGACTTAAATATTCACAAGTCGATCGCTACTAATGAACAAGCCGAACGGTTGCGCAAAATGGACGCCGAAGTGTCAGCCACTCAGGACTTGTCCAATTTGAACTTAGTGACACGGTCCGATGCGGAGCGAATATGTGGTATTGTGCGAATCGAGAGTACCCCTTCTACAAATGAGCCTGTCGCGTATGTTTCTTATTTGTTGACAATTTTCTCGTCTCTATGGTTGCGTGTCTTTCTCCTCGCTTTCCAAGCAATACAACGTCACCGTATGAAAAGTCGATGTTATCTGAGTGTGGTTCGGTAGGGCAGAAAGCGACTTTATCGATTTTGGCAGTGCCAAACATTTTTCGATGGAGCAACCTTAGGTACGCTCATGATCAGCAATGGACCAAGTTTCCAGGGAAATGTTCTGCATCGCGCAACGCGAAAAAATCGCGTTCTGTCTAGTGAACCACACCCATGTTATATGGACGAGACAAATCCTTGAAGTGTCTATTGTAATAGGCATTAGTGGTTGTTTTTGAGCTGCCCTCTCAACCACTACCACTATGCTCACTTGTGAATTACTTGCTTTGTAATATTACTCTTCCTCCCACAAAGGGATCCTCGAACTATTCAGAAGTCACATGCTTAAAGAGGTTATAACAGCAGTGAAGTCCTGAGTATTGGATAGATTTTTCCAGTTATTCGGCTTCAAAGTTGAAGGTCGATCAAAGTTCAAAGATTTTCTGCCAAGCGTATGTACGTGCAACCTTGATATTCAATGTTGCGTAAATGATTCGCAGGCAAGCTCTAAAATGCAGGCTTTTGTTGCTGCTGCTTGCTTGCTAGTGGATTTGAGCTATTCTCGTTTGATCTCAAGATTGAAATGCTGAAAGAATGCCGCTCTGAGCAGATTCGAATTTTTTCGATTGCTCGATGGAATCTGAATTTCATCCCGCGAAATTTAGACCAATCTAGTACACAGTACTCCGTTTTCGTATCGAGAGGAAGCTTGTTATGGTCATACCCCGTTTCAATGCTCTCCCTTAAAATAGCCAATGGTTAGGGAAGTCACCTTCCTTCTAGTAATACGCTTGGTTGTTGATGTGTGAATGTGGAGTGTTGATGCATGACTACTGTACTTGCCCTTTTTTTGATCAACACCGACGTCTTTTTCTCGTGTATGAGGTGCAGCCTATTTCTATTACTTTTTGCGTAAACAATACCTTGCTTAGCCCTCGAACTACCATTTTGAATGCCATAAATGTGCACATTCCGCTTACAATCGGACCGTGCAGCATTTACCTCAATTTTTACGCCGCTAGTAACATTCTGCTGCTCTCAGGTGATGTTTCCAAACAGTCATTGTTTAGAAAAGTAATTTCCGGATCAACTGCAGATCGGTTGATAATCGAGTAGTTCGAGCAGCCTCTAGCAAAGTCTCCATTCGTCTTGTCAAAATACCCCAGTGGATTCTTTTTGCTACAGATTGTCTGGAATGTTATACGGCCTTTTCCGGTAAAGTGCTCTATCTTATGGTCCACCAGTACGAAATGAACGAAAGCTATAGAAAACCACTCAGCTTTCCCAGAATTCCAACATTCTATGGGCTAGAAGGTCATAATGGACGTGAAGAGAAGGCTTGGACAGAACGATACCATCTTGCACAAGATGTTAGGCTTTGCCTTCTAGAACGTCATGCGTCAACTGGAATGGGAAGACATGGGAGTGAAGGTCGACGGCCGGCAACTACACCACCTTCGTTTTGCTGACGACATCGTTCTTATAACGCCGAACATCGAGCAAGCAGCGAATGCTGGCTGATTTCGACTGCGCCTGTGGTAAGGTCGGTCAGCTGAACCTAACGAAGACGATTTATGAGAAACGGATTGGTTCCTGATGCCCCATTCACGCTCAACGGAACGAACATCACCGAATGCTCCAGCTACGTACGTACCTAGGTTGGGAAATCAGCTATGACGAGTAATCCAGCTCCAGAGCTGAGCAGGAGGGACTGTAGAAGAACATCGAGGAAGTAGTGAAAATACGAAGAACATCTAACTCCGTGCCTATACTCTTCAATTCTGTAGTCCTTGCCTTAACCTACATATGCTCCAGAGAACTGGGCTTGGCGCAGACAGGACGGCTGTCGAGAGCACGATGCTAGGAGTAACCCTACACGCAAGTGCAGAGGGGAATCCGGAGTTCCGAACTACGCCAACGATCGAAGATCAGGGACGCTGCCGTTTTCGCCAAGGAATCGAAGATAAGGTGGGCCGGACACGTCATGCGATTTTGCGATGACCGTTGGACCAGAGCGGTTACCGACTGGATCCCTCGGGACGTCAAACGAACACCTGGGCGACCGCCGGCCCGATGGTCAGACTTCTTCACGAAAGCTCTGAACGAAAGGAATGAAGGACTTCGTGTCCCTCGAGCGAGGAGGGTCCACTGGACAACTCTTGCACGCGACAGGGACGAATGGAGACGTTGCTGGCGCCCGCTCGAGCAATTCGATGATCAACGGGACGACAGGTGGTACAGGTGATATTTAACGTAAAGCTGAGGATCTCTGGAGCAAGTATATCGTCGAAAGTCATTTCACCTCGTTTTCGGATTTCTCTTTGTAGAAGGAATAAATTTCGCTGAGGAACCTGTCACGATAGTTGGGAAAATGGATGTTGGTGGAGGAGAGATTTATTGAATGCAGCGTGTGAAGCTAAATTTTGCATTCACCCAGTTCGCTTAGGAACATTTGTTCAGTGCTTGCAAGGTTTTTGTGCGACATAGGCTGGACGTCATCGTAGAAGAGGATGCCCCTAACTCGATTAGCTGTTTATCCTGCTTTTCCTATCTCGTCTAATACAGCAATGTCGGCGTGCTGGGCCGACATTGCTGTATTAGACTAAACAACCAGGATGAGGTCACGAGGATCATCCTGGTTGTTCAGTTCATCCTGTGAGCAGGATAAGCCTTTTCGCGAAGATTACTGATGTTGTCTGTTGTCGCGTCTCAAAAGTGCGCGACAAGTTCGTCAGAGCTTCTTTATAAAGTGAGCAAATCAAGTAAATGGACGATATTCCTCGTACTCTTATCCTCTTATACTTGACGTAATGCGATGCAGCATATACGTCATTACGGAAGTGGATTGTGACGTACTCCAATAGCTCCAATGTTTGGAAGAAAGCCGTCTGGACTGCGTTGATAGCCGCATGTATTGCTGGCATGTATGCATTGCTGTATGGCTGCTGAAAGAGAGAAGGCTTTCATTAAAGTAGAGGACCCCCTAAGGGTGCGGATCAACACGCAATTCGCATCAAAGGATATGCCCGCGGCGTTCTCTGCGATAAAAACATGCCAGAACGTCTCAAATCTAAGATCTATAGGAACCGTCATCCGGCCGGTCGCGATTTACGGTGCTGAGTGCTGGCCTACGACTAAAGAGATCGAAGCACGGCTCAGTGTGATGGAGACCAAGATGCTGCGTGGACAGCCGGAGTCACACGAGTAGACCACATTCGAAACGATGTCATCAGAGAGCGATTCGGGGTGGCTCCAATTGTCGACAAGATGCGCGAAGCCCGTCTTCGATGGTATGGTCATGTCCTTCGCGCGAAAGATGACAGTGTCTGTAAGATCGGTCTCAACCTTGACGTGCCCGGAAAGCGGCCTAGGGGGCGCCCGAAGCAGCGATGGCTCGATACATTGCACGTAGACTTGAAGTCAGGTAATATCCACCCCGATTCGAAGCTTAACCCTTTGACGACCGCCGTTATGCAATGCGTCACTTCACTTCTTTCAAATTTTTTCATCAGTAATTATTAACTCTACAAAAATTTCTATTTGTAATTAGCGCATTATTCCGCGGAATTCGATGATGTATTTGTGTACTTTTGAAACATAAAAATGCCAAAATAAACCCCTAAAACGAGCCGCCACCGAGCGAAAGTGTGGCCCACCGGCGGGCCACACGGTCGTCAAAGGGTTAATCGGGTACAATGGCGTCAAAGCGGACCCCGCCTACAAGCGGGACAGACACTAAAGAATAAGAAGAAGAAGATATAACATGACCTCCTTTAGCGCAGTTGGCTAGGAACGCCACCGATTGGCTCACCACTCGTCGCAGGTCTATACGTGGCGAGTGATTAGATAGCAGAGAGAGCGTAGTGTTGAAGAGGGCACAGCGATGAGAGTCGCATCAATGCGCAAATCAACGGGCAAGGAAGGGGTCCCATTTCTCGGGTTTCGGGCCGTTTCACATGGTTTCTTCTTCATCCCTGCTCCACTGACCACCTCTACCTTATTTCCAATAAGCTATCTTTTCATCGTAAGATCTGCCTTTGTACTCGTCTTACTACCTTCATTTCAAACCTTACGAACTTGAAAAAAAAGCTCCGAAATCGCATGTTACACAAACATTCTTTAGCAGTGAAGGAAAGAAGATGTAATGGGCTCGCCAGTGGTATCTAGCAGTGCATTCTTCAGAAGAAACCGTTCTTCCAGGTTAAAACCTTACCTGCTGTCCGAATGGCCCATATTTACTCCTTTCATGCAGAGCATTTGTGAAGAAGTTTGAACAATGTGCCGGAGCTCATCCTAGTGTTTGCTTGACGGTCTAGAGATCCATTCAGTAACGGACATAGTCCAGCGGTCAACACAAAAGCTTGAGCAGTGTGTTCGACATGTTTGGTCTTCAATTTTTGAGATATGCTGCATCTTCTTCGCCATGCGTTCGTGTACGCATCCTGATTGTCTAAAGTTCAAGTCTCAGAGTGTATCTTAGCACATTGGCGTACGCGTGCCGCCATAGTGTAGCGCCACGATTCGACACGTAAAACCGCTGATTAATTATATTGACATTTTTCAATGCTCTGAACTGTTTGCACTCATTTTCAGAGCCGGGAAACCATACGTGTCATCACTGATAAAATTGTTGATAGATTAATGATGATACATTTTTGAAAAATATAAAAAATATACGAAGGTACTTATACAACGGCGGTCTGCAATGTGTTAAAGAGGAAGAGTCAGAATCGAAGATAATGAGCATGCAGCAGAATATTTCCTCTTTTCCGCTACCCCGATGTCCCCATACATTCCCATGCCGTTGGTTTTCTTCTACTCAGACATTCTCTTCGTTGGGTTCAGTTGCAGACCAATCCTACCATCTGCGAAACCGACTTGCATCCGCTATGGTTACTAGCTGTTCATCATGCGACGCAGTAAAGCACTTGGTGTGGTTGCTGG